CTGCCATCTACCTGGCTTGGGGACTGTCCACTGACCTCCTCTGACTTGCCGGGGCCCCCTCCACTCATGGCCTGCTCAGCCACTGCCCTTCTCTGCTATGAGAAGTAGGAAAGTTCCCTTTTAGTTTTCCTTCTTATTAAAGAATATGTGCTAATAACTTTGTGAAGCCCTATCCTATGTAGCTGTTAGACACGCTGTGCTTACAGGCTCATAGTACATCTATGTCCTTGCACTTTAACCAAGATGTCTGTGCTGGACGTGCTCACAGGCGTGTCCCAGCTCTCCGTTGCTCTCACCTGTTTAGAAAAGTTTTAAGTTGTTAGCCAATCCGGTTTTCGTTTAGATTGTGAGGTCTGGCTCCAGCCAACGGAGACCAGACACAGCAGTAAGGACGACCCCAGATGTGTAAGGGATACATCTGTCTGTTTTCCTTTGTTCATTGTACTCTCGTGGCATGAGGGCTAGTAAGAGTACCCATCCTGCAGTCCAGGAAGTAAAAACTGCATTGCTGAAAGATCCTTTGTCTCTGCTGATTTTTCCTTTGTGGCATGGAGCATCTATTTCCATCTGCCCTGCAGTCCACAGGCCCCTTACTGTCGTAGATGACTCCACTGGCCACGGTGTCTGCTTGGCCCAGGGTTTCCAAGGAGGCCCCTTTCCCTCCTGCGATGCAGCCCCTGTCGTCAGCCCTAGCTGCAGCAGCACCTGTGACGAGGCTCGCTACCCCCAAGCACCAGAGCCTCTCCTCCCGCCAGCTCAGCCGACTGCACCTCTGATGGCGCCCTGCCCCAATGCCACCGTGCTCTGCCTGCTTCTCCCGCTGCCCTGGCTGTGCCGGGCCCACGCTATACCACCTCCCCATCGGCACCCACAAAGGCTTGGGGAGGAGGGGACAGTGGAGTGGCCGCTTGCAGCTCTCCCACTGGACCGGGAGCAACCAGCTCTCCCACCTCTGGGTCCAGCCCCAGCCCTAGCCCGGGGCCCGGTGGCCAGCGAGCTCACACCAGGCAGTGAAGGGAGCAGAGTGGCGAGCACAGGGGAGGCCGGCGGCAGCTTCTCAGAGGCTGTGAGGCTCCTGGGCCCGACCTCTTGGCACTGGCACCCAATGGCAGTTTGTATCACGACCATGCCTGGCACAGGGCAAGGGGCCCTGGGGCCCAGTGTGCACGCGCCTGTGACAACCAGCGTGGTGTGGTGTGTTCACCCACGTACACTGCTTCACTCCCTTCTGGGCTCTGCCTGTAGGCTCCCACCCCTCTCTCATTCCTTCAACCCAAAGGAGTGGTTCTCTGCCCCTTTGGAAGTGGGGCGAGGGCTGGGGCAGAACTGAGGTCATGGGTACAGGTATGCAGGTCTCCGCTGCCTGTGACTGGTGTTCTTGTGATGACGCGGGGTTGTATGTCACTGCAGGGACCCTCTGTCCTGGAGGCAGGGTCCAATGACCAGCACACCAGCCATGCAGAGGTGAGGTGGGGGGAAGACCTCTTTCTGGAAGCAACTCCAGGCACTCCCTGGCCAAGGCAGGTCTCTGATGCAGCCTGGAGCCCGAGGCAAAGCGTTACGTGAGGCCTCTTGGAGAGGGCACCCAGAGCCCCAACAGCCACAGCACCGGGGCCCCCAATGCACAGGATGTCAGCTGCCACCTGGCACTGCCACACCACAGAGGACACCGTGGGAATACCCCATGATCTCACACCCCTGTGTACATGGCCACAGCCTTCCACCCGTCTGCCAGCTGGACACGGCTCTGGCTAGAGCTGGAGAGCACAGGAGGCTTAGGAGTACGCTGTGGAGACCCAGAGAAGGCCCCCTCCGCCCGTATGCTGGGCATGGTCAGACATCAGCAGCCCAGGGCCCTGAGGTCTGCACTGCAGCAGCAGGACGGGACCTAAGCCCTGACCAGGCACGCCAGAGCCTTGTGGTCCTGGGCAGGGAGCCCAGGTATCCAAAGGAAGTAGCTTGGAAATGGAAGGAGGAACTAGGGGTGAAGGTGAGGCACTGCCCACCTGGGAACAGGGGGCAGGGGAGACCCAGGTGTGCCTGCCCTCAGCTGCCCATCTGAGAAGTAGGAGCTGGACATGCAGGTGGGGCATGCAGGGGAAAGAAACGCTGAGGACACGAGGGAGGAAGTGCAGGAGGAGGTGCCTGGGGACTCCTCGGAAGTGGGATGGGGTGTCCGCGCCCAGAGAGGAGAGATGGAACACAGGAGCCCAGCACAGAGAGGCAGACAATGTGACGTGGCTGCAGAGCGGGGAGGGCACACTTGGCTCAGAGGAGACTCAGCCTGGAGGGGAGACAGGCTTGGGGGCAGCCAGGGAAGCGGGCAAGGGGGAAGATGGCACAGTGGGGCCAGGGGGCATGGTGCAGCCCAGCAGACCCAGAGCCACCCTGGAGTGGAGGAAGGCAGCTGAGGTGTGAAGGCGGGGGCATGGGGGGAGGTGGGGCTCAGCCTGGGGAAGGGGGGCTGCTCAGGAAGCAGGTCTAGAGGTGGATGCAAGGAGGGGGACTGTGGAAGGCGAGGACGTCTCAGGGGTCCCCAGGTGCACTCCGACTGCAGGCCCCAAATCGCTGGGATGGGAAAAGAATGAGGAGAGCCATGCAGGGTGTGGGGCAGCCCCAGACCTCCTCTGGGCAGGGTGAGCAAAGCCGCGACTCTCGCCAAGTGCCAAGGGCCCCTGGGGGCTTGGGAGCTGGCTTGAAATGATGGCCCTGCTGGTGCAGGCATCAGCAGAGGGCAGAGTGAGCCAGAGCCTGGGCGTCCAGAGGCTTGGGCAGCCAGGACAGGAGCCTAGCCAACACTCAGGGTGGCGCCAGGCCCAGGCAACCCTTTGGGGACTGAGCAGCAGAGCAGGATGGTGGCCAGGGCTGGTGGCTTCAGCCCTCCTGGCAGCCAGCCTGCCTCCCAGACCTGCTCCCCGCCTGCCCTGCGCTGCATGCACTTTCCCACCTGGACCGCTCTGCCCTGCTCTGTCCTCTGCTCAGCCCCTCGAGTGAAGGTGAGGTCTGGCCTCTGTGCGCCTGGAGACCCCATGTCGGGTCCCTTCATCTGGCTTTGGGCATCTACACACCACTTAAGAAAGAGGCGGTCTTCCCTGGGGGCATCCGGCCAGACCTTCACTCTGCCAGTCTCTGATGGCACAGCGTGATCAGACAGGGAGTGCACAAGAGCGGGAGGTGTTGGGAGCCTGGTGGCAGGGGACAGCCTCACTGCTAAGAGGAGAGATGGGCACCGTGAGGTCGGGGGTCACTGAGCACTTGCAGAGCCTGGGGCTGGGGCCCCAAAGAAGATGGCCTGTCCTTGCCTCTGCAGAGCGGCGCCCCGCTGAGATTCAGCGGGTGGGGACAAAGGGCCAGGCCCTGAGCTATCATGGTGGGCATCCAGGACCCGTGAGGGCTCCAGACGTGGCAGTGACTCTCATTCCTCCAAGCCTGAGCTTGCTTCCCCTCTGTGAAGGAGCTCTTCAGGATGATCCTGCCTCACTAGCTTGTGAGGAGGCTGGAGGGAGAGGGGAGCTCCAGGGACAAACCTCCTTTATTCCCGCTCACTTGGAGAGCCAAGGGCTCCCTCAGGCTGTGGGGTGGCCCAGTGGGGGCACCTGGCGGCCCGAGTGCAAGATGGGCTCCCCTCTGCAGCTGGGAGCGAGTGGGGTCTGGCCCGCTGTCGGGGGACCGGGCAGGGGACAGCAGGGAGAGCCTGGATCCAGGACCATCTCCACAGCTGGGAGTGGAGCGGGATGAATCCCTCATAGAGCAGCTGCGGGGGCCCCAGCCCACCCTGCAGAAGTGCATGGCCCCACCAGAGCCGGCAGCTCACAGAGAGGGGCTTGGGCCTCACAGGGGCAAAGAGGTCTGAGGAGGGAAGCTGCCCCATGCTGAGGGCGCCCTGGAGGGGGAAGAGCAGTAGAGCTCGGGACACGCCCCCTGGCGCCAGGGACCAGGTGGCAGGGCAGAGGCAGTGGGGAGGGAGTTGCAGTGGGGGGTGGGGTGTCTGGGGACCATCTCTAGGACCTGGGGGATCTCTGCAGAGAGGGATGAGCTTGCCTGAGAGCAGGAGTGGGAAGTCCCCCACGGTTCCAGGAAGAACTTTCCAGGAAGCCACAGTTCCTTCCGGCAGGAGGGGCTCAGACAGCCCTGAGCCACACAGGGTGCTGGGCTGACCCCCTTCTCCGACAGGGATTATGGCAAGCCCCAGCCCTCCTCTCTGGAGCTCAGGAAGGAGGCCGCAGAGCCCGGAGAAGGGACACTGCAGGGGACCTTGCTCCATTTTTGGCAGCAGCCCCAGGCAGGCTCTGACCCCCAGATGCGTGCTTCCCAAAGTGGACCTCTTTGGGCCTGGAGCTGTAAGTCAGTCCATGGGCAGCAGGACTTGGCTGCCCTGGCATGGGCATGCATCCCCAGGGTGGTGGCCCGAGAGTGCCCAGTGTCCAGCTCAGTCAGAACAGATGGGGGCGCTGAGAGCAGCCGGCAGAGGCCCCGCCCTGGGCCCTGGGGACAAGTGGGTCTGGCCTCCTCGGTGGCCCCGCCAGCCACCGGGTCACTCTGGCCAGAAGTCTGAGGCCCTCCCTCTCCCATGTCTGGCTGGGACCGTCCCAAGCACCCCCCGCCCCAGGCCCTGCCCCAGTTGCCCCCCAGGACGGCCGGGCCCCCTTCCACCTCTGCCTCTCTTCGGCTGACTCACCCGGGTCACCCCCACCCAACAGGCAGCCTTCACCCCTCACCACCCCCGACCCTGCAGGGAGCCAGCCAAGCCCTGTCCCAGACCCAGACAGGCCCCAGGTGGTCACTGCAGAATGAGGAAGGGGGGTGTCTTGGGGGTCCTCAAACCACCGTGGGGCTGGGTCCTCCGGTCCCTCTATGGAGGGTCCAGCGTCACTCCCAAGGCATGTGACGCCGCCAGAGGATCGGGTGTCCCCAACTCAGCGACTTGTATTTATAGCTGAGCCCTGGCCCGCTGCCGGGGTGGTGGGGGAGGGGTGGGTGGAGGGAGGGCGGTGTGTGTGGGTCGCGGTTGTGTGGGTGGTGCGTGCGCGTGCGTGGGTGGGTGGGGTGGCCCTGGGAAAGGTGCTCCCGGAGGGAAGGCGTCCAAGCCGGTGAGTGACCGGCAGGGGCATGGGAGGACAGGGGCCGTCTGGGTCCGGGGAGGGGGCTCGCTGGGCGGGTGGGGGAGGGACCCGGCGCCCCAGCCCGCACCTGGCAGCGGCTGATGATGTCGGCGTCCGTGGCCAGCAGGTCCACCACCTTGCCTTTGCCCTCGTCCCCCCACTGCGCGCCCAGCACCACCGTCACGCGGGAGCCGGTCGCCGCCGCCTCCTGCTGCAGCCGCCCCCGCTTGACGCCGCCCGCGCCGGGGGGCCGGTCGTTGGAGGCTCGGGTCCCCGACATGCTGGCTCGGTTCTTCCGCTGCGCTGGCCCGGCCAGGAGCCCGCCGCCGCCGGCGTCCGCGCCATTAAATGGAGAGTGCCCGGGGCAGGGGGCGGGCCGGGGGCGGGCCCGGGCGGGCGCAGTGACGTCCCGGTGACCTCCGGCCGCCAGGTCCCCGCCCCATGGCCGCGGCCCGGGAAGTCCAGTTGAGCCTGAGCACTTTAGGGGCGAGGGGGCGCACGGACCGACGGCCAGGCAGGCAGAGGGCCTGGGGCGCCCCACGAATTTGCCAACGGAGGCAGCTTCCCGCAAGCCCGTCGGGGCCAGGGCTTGTGAACCGCGACCGAACCCCGCCAGGCCCCTGCCGGGCCCAGAACTTTGGGGTTCCAGCAACTGCGGCGGTGGGCGCCCCTCCAGAGCAGGAATGCGGTCCTGCGTCCCACCTGGAGAGTCCGCGCTCTCGGGGCGCGCACGTGCCCTGCGCGGAACCCCGAGTCCCCTGGGCGCGCGCGCGCCCCCTGCCGGCCGCGAAGAGCCCCGCAGCGCGTCCTGGCCGAGGACGAAGCGCCTCCTGCACCTGCCTGCATCTCGGCTAGACTGCAGGGGCCCCGCGTCCTGCCCGGGCGCACTGTTGCTCGGTCCTGGCGTTTAGGACTTAATCTTCAAATCCGATAGTTTTAGTTTGGAAAGATAAAACAGAAATCTTCTGTTGCTTTTTCTGAAGGATTGGCTTTTTTTTTTTTTTTTTTTTTTTTTTTTTTTTTTTTNTAAGAAGTCAACATTAAAGTAAATTTAGATACTATAGTTTAAAAGTAATTATCTGGGGCTAGGGGCAGTGGCTCACACCTGCAGTCCCAGCACTTTGGGAGGCGAAGTCGGGTGGATCACCTGAGGTCAGGAGTTTGAGACTATCCTGGCCAACATGGTGAAACCCTGTCTCTACTAAAAATACAAAAAATTAGTCAGGTGTGGTAGCAGGCGCCTATAATCCCAGCTACTCAGGAGGCTAAGGCAGAAGAATTGCTTCAACCTGGGAGGCAGAGGTTGCAGTGAGCCGAGATTGTGCCACTGCACTCCAGCCTGGGCAACAAGAGAGAAACTCTGTTTCAAAGAAAAAAAAAATTACTTATGTTAGATAAGTCAGTTTATATTTTTAAAGTATTATCTACAGTCAGATTCCCCATAACTTTTTAATTGCTTTAAGCTTTATAATTTCTTTTAAAGTTTATTTTGTAAATGCACCTTGCTCTGTACATTTTCCAATGAGTATAAAAATGATGTCATCAGTGTCTTCATGTGTTTTATAATGATCTCAATTTATTTAAATGCTGTTTAATTTAGAGGAGGAGATGCATTCTTTCAGCATCTCAGTATGGATAGGAATTACTGGAGCTACCCATTTTAAGGTTTTATTTGCATAAATATTCTTGACCATAAGAAGTTGAGGATAAAAATATATTGTCCAATTTTGCAAACATCAATAACCTGTGGTCCAATATCTTCACTGCTGACAAAGAGAACAGTTTCTAGGCAGTGGCGTTTAGGAGACTTAATCTTCAAATCCGATAGTTTTAGTTTGGAAAGATAAAACAGAAATCTTCTGTTGCTTTTTCTGAAGGATTGGCTTTTTTTTTTTTTTTTTTTTTGCTTCAGTATGTTTGGGTTTCTCTTCTCTCTCAGATTTCCTCAGATGAGCTTCCTCTCTGGAGTCTTCTTCTGAGGAAATATCTACCGGGAGAAAGGCGACGGTGTGGCCAATAAAATGGCTGGAACGGAAAACGGGAGCAGGCCGGCTTCAGCATGGAGCTCCAGCCCTCAGCACCCAAGACGGGGTAAAGGGACCCATGCTGTCAGCCTCACCTGGCTGGCATGGGAGCAACCCCCAGGGGTGCGCACCAGCGTGGGGCCCAGTTTCGAAAGAGGCCTCACATCACACCTTCCCATCCCAGTCCCAGCCTGTGGAGGGACTAGGCCCCAGAGGGAGGCAATGGTACGCGAGGCTCCTGTGTTCCCTGCTGGTTGACCTGCTCCACCCACCCTGCCCCACCCCTCCCTAGTGGATGAGGCTTGGAGGAAGCCAGCTCTGGTGGCCAGGAGAAGGGTCCTGGGGCCCTTGCCCCAGAGCAGGGAGGCAGGGCCCTTGCCTCCCTCCCTGAGGGTTCTCAGTTGCCAAACAGCCTGGAGTCACCAGGCTCCTTGGGCTTTGGGGCAACTCCAAGGCCAGTGACAGGGAGCCCATGGAGATGGGACACTCCCCATAAGGAAGGGAGGGGAGCTTGGGCCTGTCGGGGCAAAGGTCACTCACACTGAGTTAGTGATTCAGGTGCAGCTGAGGACACCGCTGCCCACCCCTCCCTGCAGCTTCCCCACCCCTCCTCTCTGGGTGCCTGTCTGCCCCAGCCTGGGGGAGACGGGTTGTTCGCAGCGGCCTCCCACCCCTGCTCTTAAGTCCCCAGACCCCTCTTCTTCCACTGGGCACACTGACACTTCCTCTCCCTCGGCATCCTTGTGGGGAAAAGGCCGTTGTGTGGGTTCCAAGCAGTCAGGGAGCCTCAGAGGAAATAGTCTTCATGCCTGAACTGCACGTCCTCCACCTTCCTAGTGCCGTCCTGGGGGCGACAGCCGGTGAGGGTAAGCAGACCACCACCCCCAGCTTGGGAAGGTGCTGGAGCAGGGCTGGAGGGCTCCAAGGTTTGGCAGAACCTGGATCCTGCTGAACAGGGGATGCACCTGAGGGTGGGGCGGTGGGCCTGCGGGTGTCAAGGAGGGAATTTGGGGCACAGCGTTAGCTGTGCAGGTAGGCAAGAGGCGGACTGCAGCAGGACAAACCAAGAGGGTCACGGGAGGTTTGTTTCCAGATGAGAGAAACTGACAGTGTTAAATGCCACCAGGAACCACAGAGTCCCATCAGACAAAGGGGTGCTTCCAAGGCCTGGCGGGGCCACCAGCTCTGAGCCCTTCCTGGGGACACCTGTGGTTCTGGGCTAGCAGATGTCTGATAGAGGCTTGGGAGTCTGGGGGGTCACCCACCCTACCAAGGGGTCTTGGACTGACCCTGCAGAGGCGAACAGTAGTGACTCACCGACTTCCCCAGGCCCCGACTATAAATAGCCACGGGCCTGGGTTGGGGCAGGGAGTTGGGCCTTTTCTAAAAACAGCCCTGCCCAGGCCCAACAGCTGGGGACCCTGCCAGTCACACGGCCCAGCCAAAATTAGAACACCCCCACCCCACAACCCCCACAGTGGGCCTGTCCCCAGGTGGTGGGCGGCACAGGAGCCACAGAGCTTGGGGCCATCCACCTGGCCCCTGCTGTCTCAATGTGTGCCCTTGAGCAAGAACTAGGGTACATGGGCCTGTCCACCTGTGCTTTCCACTCTTTGGGGGGTCACACTTTCCTGTGGGACCATCGAACACGGTGGTCCAGAACAGACACCCACAGCCGCCTGCATACACGCCTGCAGCTATGAAGCCTCACTGTGCAAGGCACACCCAGAACTCATCTGTTTCGGCTCCTTTGCTGGCTGAAGCCCACTCAACTCACTTCTCATGAAAGAGAAAAACCAGGCTGCAGGAAAGGCAGCCCCTCCTCCTGTCACAGGGTCCCCAGCCCCACCTCTCCAGGCAGGAAGGGCCATGGCCTCACTTGCTGCAGGTGACCCTGCAGGTGGCCTCACCCAGTACTCCGTAGTCCACTATTACTGGCAGATCTGTGGGGGGTGGGGGGCAGGGGAGGTGTTGAGCTATTTAACTTAAAAACAATAGCACAGATGGGAATGAAAAATGGTGCGGCTGCTTTGGAAAACAGTTTGGCAGTTTCTTAAGAAGTTAAACATAAACTTAGCAGGTCGCCCAATTGTTCCTCCGCTAGAATCTACCCAGAGAAATGAAAACTCCATCCACACGAAGACTATACGAATGTCCACAGCAGCAGGATTCACTAAAGCCCCAAACTGGAAGCGACACAGGTGTCCGCGGACAGAAGAGTGGACAAACAAATGCGGTCCATGCATGCAACGGAGTGTGCTTCAGCCATAAAGTGGAACGAGGTCCTGAGGCAGCCCGCAGCGAGGATGGAGCCTGAACACACGCCGAAGGACCTGGGAGTGTCTGGAGCTCAGGTCACCAGCTGCCAGGGCTGGGGAGGAGCTTGGGGAGAAGGTGGGACTGATGGGTTCCAGAGGACTTCTTGGGGTGATGGAGAGAGTCTAAAAGCAGATCATTGCACAACCTTGATCTGCTGGAAAGCAAATGCCATCACAGCACACACTTAACAGTGAGTCTGGCAGTTTGTAAATTACACTCCTGTGGAGCTGCACCCATCTCACCACTGCCGGGTGCTGTTCATTGGGTCTGCCGTGTTCTAGATGCTTCTCACTGCCTCCTGAGGGCTTGAGGGACAACCCCTAGCCTGGGGACCCTCGGCGGTGAATGCTCACACGCGATCTGGGGACCCTCGGCGGTGAACGCTCACACGCGATCTGGGGACCCTCGGCGGTGAACGCT